CTCGCTCGCATGATGCAAGCAACCCGGGAATATGCATTCGAATATCAAGGAGTCATAGTCGGAGCCCGCTGCAATAAAAAATGGTTGGCATGTGACGAAGCATTTTCCAGTTATCATCCAGGAATGAGAGCCCGTAGAAGCAATGAGGTGAAATATCTAGTCTAGATGTAGTTCTTCAACAGATCTCATGGAAGACTGAGATAAAAGTGAATTCAACAATTAGCAGTACGCAAGTGCAAGAATACTGAGGATTCGCGCAAAAGTCCTGAGGACATCCTTCTTTGACACTCTTTAAACCTCCTCCCTCTTCCCCCCTCTCATCAGTTTCTATCTCTTTCTCTTCGAGCTTTTTCTCACACTTGCGGTGTGCCCTCAATCTCACATCGCGTCACGCTGTGACCTTACACCTTGTCGAGTCTCTCTTGTAAGTCCTGGCCACTACCACACCCTCCTTTTTCACTATCCCATCCTATCAACCGACAGCACCGTCCTCAAAATGCCCAAAATCGAGACACCCACTGCTCCCCAAAAAAGGCGCCAGAGGATTCCCTTATTCGCGGGTGCCTCTAACGCCCAACACACCATCGGTGTCAGACTCCTCACAATAGCTAGAGACATTGGTAGAGGTGCAGGGAAACCCGACTGATCAAATCTTGCCAACAGCCTTGGGGATCGACCATTTGCTTTCCAGGATCTGCCTGCTAGGATCTGCTTTCAGGTCTATACAAACTTCGTTTCCTTCCCACCGGTGGCAGCCAACGACGAAGACAAGGCCGAGAGGTCGAAGATCGTCAGGACGACGTGTTCACTTCAGTTTGTCTGTCGCCAAATCAAGGAGGAATGATCCCCCATCTTTTACTCGACGAGCACAATCGCGGTACATGGACTTTCTAAGACGGCTCTCAACAAATTTCCCCCTGACGTGCAGAGGCTTCTGCCTTTTGAACGGGATTTTGTCAGGGTCGTGGCAAGAGGCAAACTGGAGAGAATCCACGGAGTGAGTTGCGATTGGCAATTGGCGCCATGCTGGATGTAACCTGACACCTCAGATCTCCTCAACATTCTTGCATTTCATCGTAACAACCTAAAGTCTCCTAAAGAGGCGATTCTGAGAAGTGGCGGACCAAATAAAACGTTTCGTCGAAGATATCAGAGAAAGTTATGGGACTACATATGGCTGGCCGTAACTCCCTCGCGCGGATGTTTGAAGTTGCTCTTCGCGGCAAACGTCTTCCTGAGAATGGCCGCATGCCACGGATGATCGGCTGTTCGAAAGATGCATTTCACCGACAGTATGCATTACGACAAAGTAAAGGGGCAACAGGCCCACAAGCAAGTAAATGAGATCCAAATCTTCTTCCCAAGCGAGCAAAGCCTCTAGTACTGGCAACGGACGAATAGGTCGAACTTCCGCTCGAGAGGTGAAGACATAGAAGGATCAAGCGATCAGCACCCAGTCTAGTGTCTACTCGATGTGAGGATACTGAACAACTAAACGGTCGAAGTACTCAGGAAGTTTCGAGTCCGATGAATGAGAGAGATGTGTCTCCTACAGTAAGGCGAGCGCTGAGGCGGACAGTGGGGGCGGCTGGAAACCTGTTAGATCGGTGGTGGCAGCGGTAAATGAAGAGCCAGACAAGGTTCAACATCGACGAGCAGGGTTGGACTTCTACTGTGACGGAAGTGGTTTGGGAGTCCAGGACATTGAGAAACATATCTCAGGAAGCTGCACAGGGAACAATAGGCTGACCTAGCTGGCACATGAGGAGCTCGCTGTGGTCGGGACCGGTCAGCTGCGAAGGTTTACCTGAAACTCGTCGCTGAGTGATAGGTCAGGTACTTGATAACTTCAATTCTTGAAACGAAGAACATGAAGACGAACATTCGCAGACTTTTCTCTCCCACGTGTTCATTCTGCGGCCAAGGCCAATACAAATAGACCATATGCTGGATGTACTTAACAAAGGCCATTTGGCTCTGCGGGTCTTTCTTTCCCTCTCCCGTGGGTGGTGGCTACTCAGAAGCCCTCCCAGCCCGGCTGGCCTCCGAGCCCAGTCCAGTCCCACTGATCCCCGTGAGCGTCTGGCCCTAGCATGCCGGCGTATATCCCTGGGCTGGGTAATGCGTAGTCACCCAGCATCCCCGAACTATGCGGCAGGCTCTGGGCAGCAAATCTCAGCGGTGTCGACGACATCGGAAACGGCATCGGTATCTGGATCGGTGTTGGCACTGGCATCTGGCATCCGTCAAGTTCCTTGCCCTCAACGGTGCTCGACACGTCGGCGCCGGTGTCCTGTGCAGGTTGCACCGCATGTGACAATGCCTGCTTGATGGATGAAACGATCCTCGGCGTCGTCAAGAGAGTTCCCTCCTGAGTGTGTTTCCAAGCCGCTTCACACGCCTCCCACGCCTCAAGGATGATCTTGGTGAAAAGCCGGAAAAACGGACCGCCTTCCAGAGCGCTGGAACCAAACCATGCCTCGTAGTTGTCGCTGATGATGTCCCAGGCTTGTCGAGCGTGTGAGCTCATAGGCCGGCTTCGTAGGTCCTGCGCCACCTGGATATATGCTGGGAACGGGAAGTGCCAGTTATTCAGCCAGCGGAATCCTTTTGTCAGCATCGAGGTCATGGTCTTGGTGTCGCACTCTAGCATCCTGAGCGCATATGCAGTGGCGATGTCACGCTGCGCGTCTGTTTGTCGAATGGATGGATTGGAGGATCTTGACAAGTGTTCTAGGAGGCGATATTTGGCGAGGTGGGCCCGAGTTGTCCACGTCGTCATGAAGTGGAGCGGGTGCTCTTGGTCACAGTGCTTGAGATACCGGTCCTCGATCATCTCCTCTAGTTTGACTAGCTCAATGCTTTCCCCGTCAGGTCCCCCGTGGGGACCGTTGCCACTGGGCTTCAAGGCCGGAGTGGTGAAATCAAGATGGAAGCGGGCATGGCGGATCACTTCACCCAGCTCGCAACGCACAACGGCGAATAGTGCCTCAGTGGTGGTGTTTGCTTGCGTCGCTGGTAGCTTCTTCATCTCTGGCCGTAGATCAGAGTCGTTCACGTTGAGAGGAATCCTGCAATCCCAAGTGGGATCCAGCGTTGTGGTCTTGGAATTGGCGGTCTCGCTGATGCGGGTGTCGAAAAGAACGAGTGACCACCACAGCCTTCGGCGCATTTCGGCCTCCACAACGGTGCAGCTTGCCAAAACAGACTCGCTGTGAATGCCCATGCGTTGCGCAATACGAACCGCGACACCAAGCAAGGAGGACAGAGACTGGGGCACTGTACTGGGTCTGACGGAGATCTGATATAGTTAGAACGTAAGACTGGACTTAGCCACCGACAAGGCCCACCAGGTAGAGATATAACGCAGTCAAGCATTCACGATCGCTGGACCGCAAGAACGAACAATTCAACAGTGCTTGTTGGCAGCACTGCTGATATCGTATCAAAAGGCCTTCCTTTGGAGAATCGAACATCTTCTGGCAGTCCTCTGCAGTAAGACTCAAGATAGACATGGAGTATATACTGAATAAGAGTGCTTCCAGAGTGGGAGGTATTTTTGAGACGTCACCTGCTGCTTCGATAATGCGCCCCTGCAAGCTGGGAGTGTGCACGATCTTGAGAAGAGGGTCTACATTTTCCAAGTAAATGTGCCAGAGCTTGAAGATCTGAACTGGATTAGGATGTAAAGTGGAAACGTCGAGTTTCGTTCTAGGGGAGCCAAACAAAAGGTTGTCATCATTCACAACGCATTGGTCCCATGCTGTATTGACAGCAGTTTCGAGCTCGTCGTCACGAGACGAATTGCTGCCATCATCGGAGTCCCGGTACTGTTACAGAAGTGAGTATAGCTTAAACCAGATGCGGTGGAGTCGTACCCCCTGGCTCATGGCGTGCCACACATTCCTAGGAGAGTTAGTAGACTTGGAGCAACTCCTTGAACAATGCATACTTGGCTCCGTAACCTCTCCCAGGCTGGATGGTGGTCGCGGGCGTTGAGATGTCTGGACCTACGGTCTCCGGACGCTCATCGTCCGAGCCAAAACCGCTGTGCGCAATGAAAGGGCCTTTTCCCCTGGTCGAGTCGCCATGCAGAGGTTCGAAGGCGACATTGTTCTGACGGAGCAAGTCTTCGTACTTGCGCAAGCGCTCCAAAAGCTCTCGCTCGGGAAGCCGTCGTCTCCGTTGGCGCTTGGCCAGGGACCCAGGCACACATTGTGCCCGAGACCTGACGCAGTTTGCACAAGGGAAAACGCGATCGCACTTCACCTTGCGTTGCTGACAGAGTACACATGCGAGCACCCGTTGTGGCTGTGAGGCTTGGGAGGAGGTCCAAGCCGTAGCCTGGGACATGAGTGGCGTGCAGCCATTCGGAGTCGGCGGTGCGGAAGACATGATGGATGTTTATTGAGGATGAATCTGAAGACCGACGTCTCCGAGGCTTGGATAGTTGGTCAGCCTTGCCAGCCGGGCGCCCAACCACAGGCAGCATCTTACTACATCATGTGACGTACCCACCTCGGACTTTCTAATTGTCCGACAAATCATATCAATCCACTTTCTCAGGCTTTCACAAGGGACAAACTTTCCAGATTAAGATTTCATAATGAAAGGCAATTTTTGGGCCCGCTATGCTTCAAAAGAGCTCCTTTGACCTACTAAGCCTCTTTTGTCAGCAGCCTCTTTTTATCTATCGTTTCCTTCAAAGAGAGACAACGACACAACAGACAAATGCTACTGACCCTTGGCTTTCAATGTCCAAGTTTCTTTAACGGGGTTCGGCTCAAAGTTGAAGGCGTACCCGGTCTTCGTATTGGGTAAGGGCATAAATATACACATATAGCACCAAGAAGCCGGACTTGACTCGCCACCATTTCCGACCTCCACCATCAGCGCCAAGAAAGGGGGCCAAGTCAAAATCAATCAGAACTTTCTACGGGAACCGTAAGTTTCTGTTCACCTCATGCCTCGATAATGGACGGTTGAAATCTTCTTTCAAAATGTGCGAGGACTGTTGCGACAAGGACAACTACGATTCTGAGGATGAGTTCTTTGAAGACGACGAGTTTTATCCTCCAGAGGACGGGGTCTATGACACCGAGGATGACCACGAGGATAACTACGACTCTGAGGACGAATGGTGGCAAGAGCAAGTAGAGGATCTCAACGGAGACCCTGGAAATGAGTTGTTTGAGCAGGACAGCTTCTGTGCAAGCTCCCTGCGAAGCCCTGCCCGGGTCGAAGTGAAGCTGGTGAAGAACTAGAGAAAGATTGTCGAGGAGATGTATTTGATTGAGCTGCCAGGGTTGTAGCAAGGCATTTAGAGAGTAAATAGTGAGTAGAGAGAATATTAGTTGGAGTAGAAGTTTTGTATACAACCCTCTGCAATTACAACAATACATCTCTTACTTAATAACGCTCCTTTACACACTGCTCCTCCAGGAGAGTTTCCTTCCAACAGAAACAAATGCCTATCCTGGAACATCTGTCATCTTCCTCTACCCGATGGCTTCCACGTGTTCGTCATGATTCACGGAGAGCAGTTGCCCGCACTCATTGCCGTGAAGCTCAAAGCAACCGCAGATAGTAACTCTACTGGGTGCACTTCAGGCAGCACATGGAGCTTTTTCCGAAAAATCAAGGCAGAGGGGTGACCTTTGTCGCTATTTAATGGACGTCGCGCACTTCGCTGATCCAGCCAGCGTGCCAGACGGTGTCTCTTGTTAAATATCCAGCACCCTCTCAGACTTGGTCAGCTCTGCATCGCCACCACCACAAATTCTCTGTGAAACAAGTCCACACTGGGGTTTCTCACAGGGAACTTTCAAATCCTGATCGACCTCCAATATCAACAACACTTTCATACAGAATCATCAACAACGAGTGGAGATTCCCGATTCCGTGCCTGGCTCGGAGTCTGGCTCCTTGCGTGTCGTTATGCCTGAATTCGGGCCTGATTTTGAGTCTGATTCCGAGCCTTCGTCCGAGTCTAATTCCTTTTCTGACATCCAGGCGCCTATCCTCTTGCTTCGCTTCCCCGACTTCGCGCGTCGCCGCCAGTCTGACCTTTGGTGGAACCAGTATGTCCGCCACCATTACTGGCTGCTGCGGGAACCTGCAATCATCATTGATTTTATCCAGATGTTGCCGATTGATCCCTGGGGGAGATATCTTCGTGACCCTCAGGTAGCGGTTCAGACAATGATTGATCTCATGGCGACCACTCATCGAAGTCCGTCCCAGCCAAACCAGGCGATGCCACAGACTCTCGCGCGGGTCGCTCCTGAGGGCGAGGCTGACGCTAATACTGTGAACTTGCAACCTGACGTGTTGTCTGAACCTAACACTGCAGCTAGTCCCCAGGTTGAAGGCGAGGCTGCCGGAGTCGAGCCATCTATGACGGAGCCTGAGGTTGGAGCTCCCCTTGAAGTCGGAGATGGCAACGCTGAATAACCAGTCCGGGATCGTCTTCGTGGCCGTCGCCGTCGCCATCTTCTTGAGTTCTGGCGCCGAGGGCGGAGTTTAGCACGTGTGACGGTCAGATGGTGGCGAGAGAAGCTGAGATAGACGTAGCATAGACATAGTCCGGGGGAAAATCAAATATGACTCGAAGTTGACCTTCTTCCTTCTTCTAAATTCTCACCTTTTTCTATAGAAAAACAGCAGCTAATACTGATGGCATATCTGGGTTCTTCGGTAAGGCGTCTCTAAACATCAACTCCCAGTATCAAGTTAGCCAAGCGTATCTATCAAAGAGCCTAAAGAGCTGCCGCGAAGGGGCAAGGCCCTCAATCTTTTTTGGGCGACCCTCGAAGAGATTGAGACTCTTTCGTGACATCTGCTTGAACACCAAAACCACATTCGTGGTCTCTCATATGCAGTGCAACGTGACTGATCCAGTGTCTCGCAGCATTGTCTATCTACTGCCTTTTCGTCCGCCAGGCCAGGCCACCTTCACAAAGACACCGAGGAAGTGGTGGTAGGAAAATAAATCTCGAAGCCTCCCTGCTTTGTTTATCTCATCTCAAAGAAACCCCAGAAGTCCTTCTGAGGCAGTGGTGCCGGCGTTTCACAGCTTCCACAATACATTATGCAACTGCCTTCATCAAATCTGCCTTGAGGATCGATCTGGTATTGAACGGATTCCTGGTCAGCCGAAGCTCGAAGGGTATAAATATCTTTTGATACTCGCACCTTGGCGCAGCATGAACTACCACCATCACTAACAATCAACAAACTTCTCTGTGGAAAATGGTTGACACAATACTAAAGTCACAAGTTCCTCCGCAACGAAGTCTCCTCCATTGTTTTACTCTCTATAGCAGCATCACCAATCATTAAAGCACAAGATGGGTCGCAATCTCAGGAAACCATTCACCAGCATCCCCAAGTTCGCTGCTCCCGACCTCAAGAAACGCTTGGTTGCTGATTACCTCCATGATCACATGGAATGCTCCAACTTCATCTCCGTCCCTCCGTCTGCCACTTCAGAGACCTATTTGATCTCGAAGGAGGAGTATGGCCTGCCGCGTTGGATGTGGATTGAGGAATTTAAGGAGGATGTCAAGTCCTGGATATCGCGACTCAGAGCGAAAGTGAGATTCGCAATTGACAATTACAGGCTGAAGAAGACATTCGGTCGCGAGATCACCCGTGTGAACCGTGAAAAGCAAGGTAAGTGGTGAAGATAGATTAAGAGTGATCAAGACTTGAAATCTTTTCGTGGCCATGATGCTTGTATGGCTGGGAGGTGATGTGCTGGGTGTGATTTTGGTCATAGACTCGTAGCTGACTTACGCTCACGAAGACGAAACTCTGGATGTTGCAAGATACTGCTGGTTGATTAACACTGGTAGCGAGGTGGGATAGAGTAATCAAATCCATTCGAAAACAAGCGTGATTGACTTTCCACTAACAATTTTCCCCTCTACCTCCCTGCTTGTAGGTAGCGAGGAGGTAACAATACTTCGGCGACAACAAAGCTGGTTAGACGAGGCTGCGATCTCCTGGATCGGAGTCCCCACAGACTACCCTTAAAGACGGCGGCACTGACCGCCAGTCTTGTAGACAGACCCAACGTATATCAACTTCAATCTTCGTCTTCGAACCACAGATTGTCCGATCCGGGTTTTCTAGGCTGTTACTGGGTCCTGTTGCGCCCCTTGGACAGCTGCTCTTTCTGTTAGTGATAATAATACCTTTCAGGCACGGGACACAGGCTGTGGAGAACTTTTGATGGTGCTAGATATTTATTCGGTGGAGCAACGCGACAAACACGCCAGGGAGGAAACTAGGGGCGGCTGGGACGGCAAGGGTCGCTAATCCAGGTGGTGACACTCCACGGACACCCCTGGACCCCTGATCGTCTCGCGGATCGTTTCATCCCCGCGTCCAGGACATTGACCGCCGCTCACCGAAACGAAATGGCGTTCTCAAATTGCCCTGACACGGTTTCGGACCAGCAACCGGTCCCATCGCTACCACACTCGACACTCATGCTGGCAAAAAGTCATTGGGGTAGCAGATGGTGGCAGTCTGACAATAATGCCTCGTCACAAAGTCTCTACCTGCTGTGGTAAGTGCATTCCAAGTGGAAGGCTCTTGCAGCCTTGCCACTGACGGGTCAGTTCGTCTCTCTGCATTTTCGTGCATGGAAGCTTCTGTCACTCTGTTCTCTTCTTGTTCTCTCTGCTGGAAGCTTTCTCATCTGTGGTCTTTTTTTTTGGGAATCTATAGATATTTCTTCTGGTATTACGCGTGTACTCAGCCATCTGTCTCGTGAGCCGACTTGGCATGAGTTGTCTGCACAAGAATTAGGAATTGAGCAGGTTAATTGAGCAAGTTGACAGCCCCGCCAAGTACAGATTCATCTCAGCATGGGCTCGGAAAGGCCAAGGTTCTTGGGTGAGAGCTTGGCCATCGGATTCACAACATCCTTCTTGTCATCACCTTCATTTGACTGTCGTTCGCCTGTCACGCCAAGTGCAATAGGAACACCGAGACTATCATTTTCACAGTCGGATTCTGAAGAAGCAAACACCTCCGACTTACCCCTTGAGGAGAGCATATGCCCCATCATTGCCTCCAGCGTGACGTTTGCACCTGCGACCGAGTCGATCCCCTCTACAAGTTATGGGCATACCAAGACGGGGAGGATTGCGAGACATGCGAAGCTCAAGCCAGAGTCTTTGCATCTATCGCCTCTCTGCTGTTCCGGCATTGAGGATCACTTTCTCCCTCGAAGTGCGCAGTCGGTGACACCAAGCCTGATAAACCAGCCGAGACATACACTGCACAAAAATGAACTCACAACTTTCTCCGCCATCAACCTCATCCTAGGCAAGACCATTGGTGTCGGCGTTTACTCGGTCCCATCAGCGATATTCGCTGAAGTTGGCTCGGTGGGAATGACAATAGTCATCTGGGTTGTCGGCGCAGTAATCTCTTTTTGCGGGCTCTCCGTGTATCTCGACTTGGGTACAGCACTGCCTCGGTCAGGCGGAGAGAGGGTCTACCTTGAACGCATCTTCCGCCGGCCCAGGATGCTGGCCACAAGCATGTTTATGGCATATGTCGTTCTTCTGGGATTCAGCACGCCAAACTGTATCATACTAGGAAACTATGCAGTGGCAGCATTAGGTGCTCAAGCTGGGGTGTGGAATGTCCGGGGCATCGCGGTCGTTGTTATCTCACTATCGTGTCTCATCCACGCACAAATGCCGTCAACTGGGCTCCGCATAATCAATGTTCTCGCCGTGGGCAAGATGCTGATCCTTGCTGGTGTCATCCTGAGTGGCTTCGCGAGCATCGGTCGAGTTGCGACAACGTCAAGGCAGAGTTCTATCGCAGAGCAGAATTTCTCTTCGATTTGGGCAGGCACTAGCTCCAAGCCCTACAACTACGCAACCGCCCTATTACAAGTTCTTTACTGTTTCCGTGGCTACAACGCGGCGAACCAGGTCATGTCGGAAGTACGAAATCCCATCTCCACCATAACATTCGCGGCTCCGGTCGCTCTCACATTAGCATCGCTAGGGTACATTCTCGCCAACATTGCATACTTCTGCGCCGTGGAGAAAGACGACTTTCGCTCTTCGGGAGTTGTTGTCGCCAGCCATTTCCTTCGCAACATATTTGGCTTATTGTGGGGTGAGCGGATTCTGCCATGCTTCATCATCATCTCGGCTTTTGGAAATATTGCGGCTACTTCTTTCGCTCAAGCTCGAGTCAATCAGGAGCTTGCAGCCCAAGGACTTCTCCCCCTGTCCAACTTCTGGCGCAAAGAGAACTGGGCAGGTGCTCCAGCTCCAGGACTTTTCCTGCACTGGCTGGTCAGTGTGCTCGTGATTATCCTGCCTCCTCCAGGCGAGATATACACTTTCCTTGTTAACATCGGCGGGTATCCCGTCTCCTTCTTCTCGGTCGCGATTGCGGGGGGCCTCCTTTATCTAAAAGCATCGGTGAGGGAGCAATGGCAAAGCCCATGCCCGGCGCATCGATCACACATTGTCGTGTTTCTGGTGAGCAATGCCCTCTTGCTCATTTTTCCATGGATAGATCCTGGACAAGATAACGAAACCAACAAGAGATTCGAGTATTATGCATACCCAGCCACGTCTCTGGGCATCTTGGGATGTGGCGCTGTCTACTGGGTATGTTGGCGAGTCAGACAGTCACGCGAGACTTCTCCTGTGGACACACCATTGTTGCAGGACTGGGAATCCGACACTGCAGTGTCACCGTATAGCTCTGACGAAGGAGAAGCAGGGCGGAAGAAAGCGTGCCCAGCTCCTGAGCAGAAGGCACTCGTGCAGGACAAGCTTAGCGACGTGTTTGTGGTGGAGGCTGAAGTCATCGCAGGAGAGGAGCTCCAGGAGGACAGTCGCGAGAGCTCGTATCCTCGAGACGAATGAGAAGAGGATGGATAGGAATCAAAGACTCTACATTATCGCTGGATAGAGCAAACAAGTGTATACATATTCACAGACTACCCATATCACAACAAAGGTTGAATAAGGTGCACAAGTAAACCGTGACAGGAAATGAATCAGGCTTTGGTAATATTCAGCGACGACAGACAACGCAGCCCTGGCACCCGCTTCTGACTGTGCCCCAGTTCAGCTTCGGCTCATCGCTCTGACCACACCGAATTCTCATCCCTGGGCGAGACTTGCCTCCTCACAGTGAACCGCACGCTTCGCGGATGAATTGCAAATGATATTATATTATCCAATGCACAATGGAGTATCAGAGGAAACACAACGAAAGCGAATAAAATAGAGAGCGCTTTGATATGTGCTTATAACCTTGTCATTTTCGTTCGAAGGGGCTCAAAGGGTTCGAAGGAATGTCGTTGAAATCTGTGATGTTCAAGATATTCTTCAAGAGGTGTCATGAATGTGGTTGGCCTACCGGGGCCGTGGTATAACACAACCCTAATGAGCCCAGACGTTCTGAATGAGAGGCCTCCAAATCAACGAGGGCGGAGGTGTCGGACCCATTGCGGGCACAGCTTGAAAACTTCCCGCGGAACGGGTTCTTTCCTCCCATGTGTGTACGGCGCTCAAGCAGACAGCATACCATGTTCGGCATGTCGAAAGAGTGTATTTGTCGCAGCCCTAGGCTTTACTTGATAGCACTCCTCACCGAGATCAATTCAGCGGGGTTTAACCGGTCGCCAGAAAATAGCCTTCAAAGAATACCGAGTACTTTGGCCAAGACTAACCGAGTAACAATGGTTACGGTTCCAAGCCCCCTCCCCGTCCCCCTTCCCCAACCCCCGTCGCTCTAAAACGACAGACGCTGGGAACCCTAAGCTCCCTAGCCATGTAGTGGGCGGCTGCAAAGGCTCACCACACTCAGGGGCGCCTCAGGGTTCGTTAAGCTACGGCTCAGAAAGGCTGGGTCAATGCTCAGGCTAAGTCATGGGTCCCTCGGGTTCGAAAAGAGAAGTGAACTAGACATGTCAACATTCGCCGCTGAGTATTCTGGTATTAATCTTCTGTGGTTTGAACGTCTTTGCCCATGGATAGAACGGGTTCAGCGAAATCCATTCCCGCAGAGAAGGAAAAAGCAGAACGCTGCTCTGGGACTGTGGCTCGTGCGGTTTGGTGATGGGCTGGCTGTTCGACTGACAATACTGTTTTGCTGATTAGCCAGTTTGAGAATTCCGTCTTCTGTGTTACCTGCCTTGTTTGATGATCAACCAGCTCCTCCAACAAGCTGCATAACAATCTTCATAAAAGCTGCTCTTTTGGACAAAATCAGAGATTGCCTGAAGTATCGTGGTGAATTAGGCGGTTAGTAAAAGAAATTGAGTATTGAGCTGACACCGTTCTGGTCTGGTCGATGCCACGACTTCGGTAAAAGAAAAAACTAAAACAAAAAAAAACAGGCAGCCACTAACCTTGCCTCTCAGATGATCTCTATGACCTTCGGCTCATCCGCAAACCAGTCAAATTCCACCTCTGCAAACTGCCCGGCTTTGACATGCTCTGCGAAAAGGCGTCCCGTCCGGTCACCGTAGTAGGTGAACCGTCCGACGCGGGAGTATGTTTTCCTCTCCGGAGAGCTCCATCGAAGAACTAGACCCTGGCAACACAGTTTGTTGTCCCTGTCAGTCCTCCGAGTGATCTCCACAACTAGACAGCCAGCGGCTTGCTCTACCGCGTCGATCTCTGCCTCTTGAACATCACAGTGCATCTCGGCATTAACGTAGCAGACGAAGGGCTTGCCGAAGGACTTGCCAAAGCCTAGAATCGTAACCTCATCTTTGAATTTTCCGGGAGATCTCAACGGTGTCTTGGTTCTCGTCGCTGGAGCAGTACGAGCAGCTAACACCAGTCGGCCAGAGCCCTCACGGATCAAGCCGAACGGTGCTGTTTCGTTTGCAGGCTCCGTCTCGCAGCTGAGGATCTCTGCAACGCATTCGGAAGGCCTGCACACTTGGCCAAATTGGACGGGCCCGTTCACAGAGAGCCACGACCATGAAGGGCCTTGGTAGGTTGTTGGCCGGGGTATGTTCTTGGGATGCACATAGCTGTGTTCAATCTTCCACAGCAGCCCCGAGTGGAAGTACGACTTCCAGAGACCAGCAATGTAGTGATCCCCGGACAATTCAGAGAAGATTTGTGCGATTCCAGAGATGGCCAAGGCGCGATCAGACGAGAGTGTCAACGCTCGCTCAGTGAATGTTTCGCATATTTTCTCCCAATGCTGCATAGCATTTACATACTGCTTGAATTGGCTGTTCCTTGGTCGGCCATAGAAGTCAATCGTGGATTTGGCGGCGCCGATATTCTCGAGGTCCAATGATTCTGTCTTTCTCTTGCTGCTGTAGTTCACGTCCCTCTTCCAGCCGTCCGTTAATCCTTCGCGGGAGAAGCCCGAAGACCTTGTTGCTGGGCATATCCATCTCGTCTGCCGAGAGCCGAACTCAATGATCCTAGAGGATAACAACCGCTCCTGAAGGGTCCAGCCTCTTTCGTCGATTGGCTCTACCGATTCAAATCCGCCATCGAGCTTGACGAGAGTGATAGAACCAAGTTCACCATCGAAGCAGCGATACGGGACAAGAGCGCCTTTTCTAGGGCCAGGAAATCTTTCCCCCAGAAACCCGTCGGTGGCCGACGACGATCGGGCTGCCACAATCGTGACCGTAGCGCTGCCATAGATGGAGGTCATTTTGGCAATCTCAACAGCTTTGTCAGTCGCATTATCCTGGATGATACAAAGCGCATCTATCCAAAGGTACTGCAATCCTATTCCCTGACAGACTCTTGCGGCATCTTTGATGGTTTGCGGTTGCTTCTCGAACGGAATCGCAGTTCCATACAAAATAATATTGGAGCTGTCGCACTTCATAGGCTGTTCACCACCCCAGCAATAACTAAGGGCGGCAAACGGAACGCGGCCTACTTCTCCCGTCTGGCGGAGTCGCAACCTGATAGTTTCGCATGTGCCTGTAATTTCGACGAGCCGCGCGGGCATTACACCCGGCTTGGTTTTGCAATTGTGATGTTCCAGGCAGTCGTTCAGCCACGAAGAGATTCTCACAAGATTTGTGACTGAGCCCGGGTATCTGGCAATGGGCCTGTTCGAGACGGTGCTCGAGCAGCGATCTCCAGGTAGGGCGAAGACTTGAAACCCATGTCTTGTTCGGTAAACAATTTTTTGGGTTATGGGGTCCCACAAGCCGAAGAACTGGATATGCTCAATATCAAGCGGGTTTCCGGTGCCTTGGTACGTCGAAGCCCATAGCCGACAATGGTTTAAAGAGTCTCCTAGGCTGGGATGAATTTTATGTAGTGTGTTTGCTGGGCATGGCTTGGGGAGCCATCCATCAAACCACAGCGACGAATCTCTGAAGGCCCACCCTAGGGTGTGGTTTGGGTCATCGATATTCAGATCTCTTCGAGCAAGACTATGAATTGTCTCCCGGGAGATCCACTCGTCGTCCATAACCCAGTTGAACAGCTGACACCCAGCCGCTGCGCCGGCGCAAAATTGACCAAACGTGACATCGAACAAGGCGCCTTTTTCAGCCATGTTCTCATTCGGTTGATTAGTCTCTGGTTGGGGGTTCGCACCAAGGGGTCCTCTCTCCAACTGGCCCGCGAGGTCATAAACTGCCTTCGCCGACTTTTCAAATCCCTGGCGGAGATCGAATACGACCTTCTGGCATTGGTCACATGAATGCGTTTGCAATTGCACTACGTCCTCCATGGTGAGATAAAACAAGGCAAACACGGTCGTGGTGGCCCCAATACCACGACAAACCTAAGACCTTGTAAAAGGTGTAATAATGTTTTAGAGTTAGGTGAGCAGGCTGTCCTCATCGACCTGCTCACCAGCGCCTTGGCCGTGGTGGCTGTACTCGACAAGGACTGTACTTGCGCACAGTACCCAGTATGAGGTTCTCGGTACAACATGAGCGAGGCACGCCAAGGAATGCTGAGGAATCGCCAAGACGTGGTTGAGGCACTTGAAAGACCGCCCCAAAATGACTCTTCTTCTCTATCCAGAAACTCCGCGCTATGTACCGAGTATGCCTATGATGCCCAACTCTTCTACGGTGCAAAATCTATTCCCAAGGTCCCATGTACTGTATATCCATCCATCATACCCGGTCGAACATCTCTTCATCCTCCTTCTCCCTATTTCCCCCCTTTTCCAAATCACCGTTCTCAATCCTCAGCTTTTCCTCCCTCTCTTCCTGCTCACTCTGTGCCGCTTCCCTTGCCTTGATCTCCTTCAACTCCTTGCAAAACTTACTGTTGTCCCGAATTCGGTCACCATATTTGATAAATGCAAAGGGGATCAGACACATTCCCAAACTAAGGAACGCCAGTAAACTGCATGCCCATGCGATGCCCAAGTTGGAGAACATGCTATGTGCAGCCAGGGGTAAGAGCGCACCAAAGACGCTTCGACTGGTACTGGTAATACCCTGCGCGCTGGCGGCAAATGTTTCATAAGCATCGGTGAGGTAATTGAGCAAAGCCATGAAGATGAGAAGGAATGCCGCTCCAAAGACGACTCCTGAGGCGACAGGTGCCAGCCAAAAGGTGCCTGGTTTTGCGCTCCACCCAATCCAGAAGAGAGAAACAACGTAGAGGGGCCCTCCTATACAAGCCAGTGGTAGACGCCTGTACTCTTCCTGTTGTGCCCACTTTGCCTGCCGCTTCTGTGCCTTGGCCAGATACGAGTCCCACCAGAGATATATTGGTGCCGCGAAGAGTGATCCAAACCCGATGGGGACAAATGCTAGGCCAGAAAGCCCGTATGACCATTTGTAAACCGAGTCCGGCCCCTGAAAGATGATAGGGTATGCTTCGAAATACAGGTAAAAGATTGCGTATGCCAGAGAACAATACGCCGCCACACACATGACAATGACTTCCTGGAACAACATGCGGTAGGGTCGAGTCATGACAACGGTAAGGACGTGGCGCAGCGTCTTCTTCGTAAGGTCGGTTTTGGCAATGATGTCGGGATCACCTGTTGCTTTGCGGAGTTGTGCTGCTTTGCGACTCAGAAGGACTGGTGTATAGGTCTCTGGCATAAAAACAATGAAGGGGATTGTTGCAACAGCGATCAGAGTGCCCACCGCAAATACCCATCGCCACGAGGTATTCTCTGCAATGAATCCTGAAATTGCTGGTGCGATGATGGGGCCGAATGTCGTCGCGACCATGAACCAAGCCATTGCCAAACCACGCTCTCTTGGGTCGTTGTATACGTCGGCATATAATCCTCCCGTGATTGCAATTGGCCCGGAGAATCCAATGCCACACACAAAGCGAAAGAAGAGCAGACAAGGCCAATTAGGTGTCACTGCGCAGGCCATGCTGAAGATGGTAGACAAAATGAAAAATGCTAAGATGACTCGTTGCCGACCATTGTTTTCGGATAGAGGACCGCAAAGCGTGGGTCCGACCACATAGCCTGCGAGGAAACACGATATCGGCAATGGAAGTTGGATCTCTTGTGTGACGTCGAAATGCTTTGCGATGAATGTGATTGCTCCGCTCGGTAACGACGAGGAAATAGTGCTATTCATAACAGTTATGATACCGGTGAAGAAGATATACAGCTTCTTCCTGCGTGACCAGTTGTAGGGGTTATCTGGGTCGGTCGAGCTAAACGATATGATCTTCCTCGAGTCGTTTCTGGTCTGTGGCTCATCGTCTGGCGACATATTGGGCGCTCGTCCGCTCGCGAGGGTATCTTGAGAAGCATCGGGTCGTTCGAGATCGAGGCAGACGGCTCGGCTATCTGTGAAGCGTCAGAGTGCTAAATTTGCAAAAACGTCAAACGGGAAAGGTACCAGGTAAGGACTGTGACACAAAGATGGTGCTATTCACCGGCTTCTGGTTTTCATTGTGATCTCCAAGACCCATGGTCGGGTTTCTCTATTGAAGAATAGTCAAAAAGACGGCGAAAAAGAGAGAACACCGGGGGGACTCCAAAAAAAAAAAAAGATTGGGAAGGGAACACCCATAGGGGCAGCTGTAGGAAAAACAACAGCAACCTTCCGGAAAACGGAGGATGGGCGACATTGCATTGTACATATCCGCTAGATGAGGGGATCCAGGACGGTGGGAGGACCCGAGTCAAGCTAGCTGCGGAGAGGATCACCAGCCAATCCGTGGCGGGCCAAGAACGAAGGCAGTGTACCAAGTAGTAGGCTCGGTAGGATATTGATAAGCCATTGATCATGAGAATGAAGCTCGCGACAAAGAAAGATGGCGAGATCGGTTATGACGGCAGAGGAGTGGTAACGAGGAGATCGGCTTCTGAATCTATCCTATTGAGTCGTTGTGTGCGGTGACATCGAGGCCGAGGGAGAAGCGTTGGCAGATAAAATCATCACGTGTGTTCTAAGCCTTTTTAGGAAAGGCACACGCCGATAGTTCCACGCTAGTGAATTTGAGCGTGAGCGACATATGTACCTCATAAAGCCGCGCCCTTTGACCATCAATTCCTCCTCAACCATTGCTCAAAGCACCAGACCAAGACTTACCTCAAGCGATTGCTGCTGGTACGCTTGAATCACACACTCGGACCCCCTATCCGATATCGTCTAAAACCAAACCTCAACGTCCCCCTCTGATGGAAACTTCTTCGATTGCGTGCACGAGGCTACGTGATCGTAACATGTGCTCTTTCCCTCACGACCCTGTCACCAGTGCCTGTCAAGCCATCGTGTAGGTTGTCTTCGCTGCCTCTTCGCCCACTGTCTTCGATATCATTCCTTCTCTGCACATCGCCGCCGGAGACTGCAGAATTTTCACGCCATGGCCCGATACTCCCACTATCGGGCCCAGCCATGACTTGTTGCGAAACACTGCTTATTCTATCGGCATGTTCCTGTTCCAGCTCACGATACCACTGCTCATACGCGAGTCGCTTCTTCTCGCGCTGTAACTCTTTCCGTTCGTGGATTTCCTGTCGGAGAAGAACTCCGGCGGCGACGAGGAGGTATGCCATCTTTTATCGTGAGGGTAAGGTATGAGTATTCGGTGGTAGAAGAGTGCGTTTGTTAGTAAGTCAAAGATGAATATTTATGGAGCAACAGATAGAACTTGACCAGTTGGGGGCGGTATTAAGACAGAGATGCCAGCCGAGGGCTGCGGGCAATACAGCAGAATGGGGGCGTGCTGGGCGCGTTTATACACCAGTAAATTGATGTAGCTTGTTCTTCAACACACCGAATTCACCTTACGGCAGCCCTCTGCAAATGGTTAGTACTTAACTTAGTAAGGGCGTACTCGCGTTTAGGAAATCGACAGCTTACGGATTGGGTTCGAAGTGGCCTATAAACGTGCAAGCGAGGAGACGAACGGATACGCGCTGGTTCATGAGGAAAGCTTGATGTATTTGAAATTCCACTGGTCCAGGGTAAAAGGGCTCGATGCGCGCCGCCAACCACCTCCACTCATTTCTGAAATAATAGACAATGCCACATAGTCGTACAGCTTCGTTAAATCCTGTTTTCGTTCAATACATTATCCGTCTGGTGTTCTAGGTTTACCATGATCTCTCTCTCCAAGATTTGAGTCCACAATGTCGACCTCTTGCAGGGCCCAAGTAAAAGGTACGCCTGCGTGTCAGTGTGAGAGTCCCACATGTCACTCTTCAGTAAGCCAGATGGATTTGCAAGCCATGGTTGTACCGTGGTCACCGGTAAGCATTGCTGCATGGCGTCGAGATGTGATTGAAATGATCCACGCGTTTCTCCAGAGGATAGTCGCATTCCACGTCATCTAACTCGTTAGAAAGAGGCGAGAGAAACAAAGTCAACTGGGGGAGCAGAGAAACCAGGGGAGATAATATTGGAACCGCGGCGACTTACCCAAAGCACATGAATCGCTTCCAGCCCTTGACTCTCTCGGCTTTTCGGTTCATTCGTAGGTCGGCAAACCTCTCACCACGGGGCCCTATCACACAATCGAACTCGTCGATTGGTGGTCTCGACGTGGGTGCGAGAGTGGGTTTCTGTCTCGAGTTGACCACGGCAGCGTAGACATGAAGTTTGGCAACCGGGTTGTTCTCGCTGTCACTCGATAACGGCACATCAGGCTGCACGGTGGAGCTGTCTTCATCGATAGCACCAAGAAGTCGTGACGGCGGTGTTAACCGGCGGGGTCGAGTGCCCAAACCACTGTACATGGATGAGGTGGTTGACACTGCTGAGGAATATGAAGGAAGTGGTGGTGCGGAATCAGGAGTTGGCGAGACAAGAGTGCTTGAGGACGACAAGGTACTTTTGATAGAGCCCGATGGTGAAGGAGATCGAGAGGTCAATCGACCATCGGTCTGACCACTGCGGAGAGCCATTGTCTTTTGTGTTGCAGTGAAGGAATATGTTAAGACTATCGCGAAAATGCAGGGCTGGGAAATTTGAGGGAAACCTCGCTTGGTGGTAGCTGCCGAAGCGGCGACGATGCTATGGACGAGTAGAGTGGAGGAAGAGGACACCCCTTCTCTTCGTGACGTATGTTTGAGACGACAGTGAGCTGACAATTCAATGACAGCCTGCAAGACACAGTGGAAGCTTCAATTAGCCTTCAGGAACAGCCAAACCACGGACATATGGAAAATCTAGATGGCGACACAGGATGCATGCTGGTTCAAAAAAATAAAAAGCCACCGCGCTACACCATCTGGGTCTCTGTGAACGGTCCATGTCATGATGCTTTCACCCGCCATTGATGGCCGTTGTGTCGATTAGTTGCTTGGAGAGGTGGTGCTGGTGCTGGTGCCGGCACTGGCATGTTCTCGGCTCTCGTCTGCGCCTAAAAGCGCCATCTCACCGCTAAGGGTGGTGATTGGGCGCCCGCACCTCTCGCTAAGCCCGGAACCAGAGCCAGGAGACCCGCAGGAGACCCCTCGGACACCCCAAGAGACCCTGGAGCTGCGGTCCCCTGGGGCCCCCTAAGCCCCCGAAGTCCCCGACTGCCCGCTAAGGCTGCTCTGCAGCAGCCACTGAACTCTCAATCGGGGAAACAATAGGCGTATCTAAACTTAATTCGATCCTGAAGCTGCCAGAAAGGGTCCGAGTTTGACCATGGCTGTCGTCAATGACGATGATGGCTTGATATGCAGGGTCGTGGTTGTCAAACATGCTCGAGAGAAGTCCGCCCACACATTCAGCTCCTCACCCGCCGCAATCTGCAAACAAGGCATGTGAAAACGGCATTCTTTTCGGGCTATCAGGTGAGTATTACTCGGTAGTGTGTTGAGTGTTTGGACAAAGAGCCTCTCAGTTTGTGGTGGTCAAGTATCGGCTAAATGTAAATCCGATGCGGACTTCCGAGAAGCTCCATCTCGGTGCAGCCCGAACCGGCAACTGCACAGAGTCGTTATCTCGAATCCTCACGCAGGCCGCGTTACTTAGTGCCGTATCAGCATTTTTACCCATATGGAACCGCGAGAACCCAGCTCAAGAGCACACCTGCCGAGAAGGCTTCCTAGACAATCGCCATCGCTAAAATGGCGCGCCCACGACGAGCATCTGCCGCGTCAGATCTCAGTTCTGTGCCGGATCAGAATCAGGTACCTACGCACTCTGCAATTCTGTCCCAGGTTATGTACATATCCTGGCGGCCCGTAGTAACAAGATATCTGTAGGAACTAGGAAGTATGTACGACTACCTGGCAAAAATCGTCCTCCTAGGCCCCAGCGGCACCGGCAAATCCTGCATGCTGCACCGCTTCGTAAAGAACGAATGGCGCGTTCTCTCTTCCCAGACCATCGGCGTCGAGTTCTCTTCGAAAATAATAAAGATAGGCACACCGCCCAATCGTTCGAAACGGATCAAGTTGCAGCTATGGGACACGGCGGGCACAGAGCGGTTTCGAAGCGTGAGTCGGAGTTACTACAGGGGTGCAGCAGGAGCCATACTGGTCTACGATGTCGCAAGCATGGCGAGTTTCCAGGCGTTGCCGACCTTTCTGAGTGACGCACGGGCGCTGGCTAGTCCGCAGTTGACGGTGATTTTGGCGGGGAATAAATCGGATTTGGCGGACGAGGCGCTACAACTACATGGGCAGGCAGGTCAAACCCATGCGAGAACGCAAGCGGTGCATATGAACGGAAGCGCCCACCAACATCGCATACAGAGAGAAGACGAATCCGGTACTACGCCCGCTGCATCGAGCGCGTCAAGTCGGCAGTCATATTTCCCGTATGATTCTGGTGGAGGAGGGAGCGCCGCCGACTCCCTGAAAACGACCTCCACGCGCTCTCGCGGGGACAGCATGAATCTCTCAAAATGGACAGCAACGCAATCGGTCGAGGGTCGCGAAGTCAGCACCGAGGTCGCCTCGCGGTGGGCTTCGAAAGTCCACATTCCCGTCACGATGGAAGTCTCGGCTCTCACGGGCGAAAATGTCGATGCACTGTTCTACCGGCTGGCGGCCATGATCCTGACTAAGATCGAGCTGGGAGAGACCGATCCGGACGATCCGGCAAGTGGCATCCAGTACGGCGACGGTGCCATGGGGGCCGACGGGGACAGTATAACTACCGACGGAGGCACTGTGAGGAGGCGGAAGGGAGGAAGAGGGGGCACGGTAAGGAACGGAGTGCTCACCAGTCTGGGCGAGTGGGAAGATGTGTTTCGCAGACCGGCCTCAAGAGGAGGACGAGGGCGGTGTTGTTGACGAAAACAAAAAGTTTGAAGAAGCATGCATAATGTCTATTTTCTCTTTTTTTTTTGGCAAAGGGCCAAACGATTGCACGAGACCTTGAGCCCTCTCCCTTTCTCTTTCTTTCTGTTCACCCCGAAGCGCGTTTTGGAAAGAAAGCAAGCAAGCGAGCAAGTGAGCATTGTACAGCCTTCTTGGATTGGCTTCGAGCGACTCTGCATAATGTACAGTTTATATGGTTTCCTTGTGTACCCGCTTCCTATTACATAGATACCACTACGACTCTTGCGCATGCACTGGAGGTGGGGGGCATTTCCTCCCTCTCCAAGTACAGTCATGCCCCGATTAATATGTTAGGTTTTCTGGCACTTTTGCCCTTCTGCTATTCCTTTCTTGTCCTTCCCGGTTCTGCTTGTGCAGATGTACTCGGCATGCCCGGGGCTACGTCATGTTGTGGCCGGGCGGCGGAAAAGGTAAGATCACAACTGAGCAGTGGTCGTGGGGATGGCTATGACCATGCCAGTATGATAGGCGGGCATTTAATAGGAGAATCATGAGAATCCGTGGTGCAAGCGATATGAAATAATGTCCAGCTTCAAGCATTGGCTTTGTCTGGATGGAGATGGCAGTGGTAGTGGCAGTGGCAGTGGCAATTTGATGCTTCGAGATCCCTGTCAAACTCCCCTAATATCTATCTCCCGCGGCTCCCCAAACCCTTCTTGACCCGGTCCATCCGCTTCGTCTCCTGTCTCAACTGTCGCACCAATCTTCTCACAAAGCTCCACGAACTCGACCTGCCCTATGAGATTCTGCGCCGCACTCAACGCCTTCATGATCACGAGCTGGTTTCTCTCGCTCGTGGCAGCACGGAAACTCCTCACTAGGAACTCGCTCAACATTTCCACCGTCCAATCATCTGGGATATCTCTCAGGACTTGCAGAGGGTCAAAGAAAGTAGCGAACTTTCCGATTAGGTAGGATGTACGTTCGAGACGGTCTTCAATGTCGGAGATGGAGAGGAATTCGTGGAAGAGGAAGGTGAAGAGCTCGATCTGAGTCGTCCGGGAGGGCAAGGTGGAGGGGTCTATTGGGTAGGATGATGAGAGTGGAGAGGGACGACCGAAATAGCAGTATCGTGTGGCCGTATCGTAGTCCCCCAATCCGTGGGTTAAAAGGCGAAGGGCTTCTTTGTGGCGGCCCTTGCGGGCATCGAGGATGACGGATTCGGATACAAGGTAGGAGGAGAAGGGTGCCAAGCGCTCAAGGACCATAGAGACCGAATAAGTCAGATCGTTCCCGGACGCGTTGTTGCCGGTGGTTGCGTACGCGCCACTCCC